ATAGAGTGGAACATATATTGAGGAGATGTGTATATACACATACAGAGAGCATGAACAGATGGGAATTGTCTTACCAACTCTGAGAGGCCAATTAAGTAAGAGAAAAAAAACTTTTGAAGTGATAATCAAGCTAGCCCAGTACAGACAGTTTGATAAGAAGTGTGAGAATACTTACAAGGGGAGATAGATTCAGTGTTTGTAATGGCTCAGCCATTCCCAGTCCTTATTCAATCCTGAGTTGATTGTATCTAGTTTGCATATCAATTCCAGCTCAACAGTCTCTCTTGTTGGAAGTCTGTTTTTGAAGCTTTTCTGTTGTAAGAGAGCCACCCGCAGGTCTGTCATTGAATGGCCAGACAGGTTAAAGTGTTCTCCCACTGGTTTTTGAGTATTATGATTCCTGATGTCAGATTTGTGTCCATTAATTCTTTTGCCGAGAGACTGTCCGGTCTGGCCAATGTACATGGCAGAGGGGCATTGCTGGCACATGATGGCATATATCACATTGGTAGATGTGCAGGTGAATGAGCCCCTGATGGTATGTCTGATGTGATTAGGTCCTATGATGATGTCACTTGAATAGATATGTGGACAGAGTTGGCATCGGGCATGTTGGGAGCTACAGATCCGTTAGAGCGTCCAGCCCACAACCCAGAAAGACCCTTCCCTGCTGTACACTTTCCCAGGGTTTCTCTAACCCTGCTGTTGAATGTCCCAAGCTATAGAGCTTCCATCTTTTACCCTGGGTGACCTCCTGCCATCAGGAAGTCTTCCCGGATAGTATGGATTCACCCTTTCTTAACATCCCTTCAGGTGTGCTGCACCCCTGGAGCTGTGCAGGCTCAACACTGCACTGCCCCTTTCCTTCAATTTTTGCCCAGTGCATACGTAACCTGTGGAACTCACTGTCACATGATATTAGTTAGGCCAAGAGCTCAGTAGGATTCAAAAAAATGGAATAGGCATCTCTGGATAAGAACAGCCACAGTTAGACTAAAGTGTTAATGAGATAAGGGCTATAATCCTTGGAGCATCATAGCATGAGCCGGCCAAAGACTGTCTGGGCTCTGAGCAATATTCCATCGGTACTCACTGAGATTCTCGCCCCTTCCTCTGCAGCAGCTGGTGCTGTTAGCACCAGACTGGGCTAGATGGCGCCTGGTCTGGGCTAGATGGTGCCTGGTCTGATCCAGACTGGGGATCCTGCCACCTTCTAGGACCTGCCTTTTGCCCCTCCCCCACTTCCACTCCTCCCATCTTCAGAGTTGCATAGAAATCCTGGCACTCTTGCAGGCACGTCAGCCCCGGCCCTCTAACCAGGGAGGGTCCAGCAGCACCTGCCTGGATGCAGGGACGGCCATTTTAAATCATCCCTGGTGTTATCTTTCTGCGCTAGATCAGAAACAGCGTCTGTATTGTAAGGCACCTGTCACTGCAACCAGCCCTAGTAGCTGATTATCATTTGTTAGTGTGAATGCGATAGCCTCTGGCCTCCGAAAGCCTGCCGAGGGCTTTACCAGCGACAGGGTGGATAGATGCGCAGGTATTGGTTCTTCCATCACTGAACTGCAGCCACCTATGGGGTGGTACATGGCAGCTGTTCAACAGCCCACAGCAACCTACCCAGCTGTTTTGGAGGTGAAGGAGGGCACTATTGCTAACTGCAGCTGCTGGAGGAAACTAAGGCCTTGTCTATATTCAGTTGCATTACTGCTAATTTAAGCCAGATTTACATTGATTTAGCTTAATTTGGCAAAGAATTTACTTAAGCCTGGTTTAAATCTAATTAAGAGTTCAGTAACATGCCGTTAGTTAAACCAGGGCAACTCTGAATGTAGACAGGGCTCAGGCAGGTTTTAGGTCTCCTCCCTGCTGCTGAGTTCGCACCACTCGCAGTCTGCTGTCCCGCACAACTTCGTTTCCCTCCTGTCCTTTGATCACTTCCCGTGCCGAGAAGGCTCAGATGCTTCAATCGAAAACAGGCTTTTCATGAGTCACTCTCCCTGGAAGACTGCGACATGGCACTAGTGAGAGCGTTTATGCAACTTGCAAATGTAACCTACTTCTAGCATCACTTTAATTATTCATCCCACTTCCGGGCACACTCAGAGCAGATGCAGCTCTGCAGAGCCTCGTCCCCTTTCTTCCCAATAGGGCTGGATCGGTCTGTTTGGCTCAGAGCAGCGACCAGCGGTGGGGCAGGAAGGAAGGTCACTGAGCATGCTGCTTTCCTGCCATGTGACATGCTAGCGAAGAAGATGCGCTAAGGGAAGGTGCGGTGATCACAGTGCTCAGGGCGGGGCCTTTCTAGTCAGCTATGCCGTTCTGAGCACATCTGCAAATCCCTGGTGATGCCAGTGACTGCACTGACCTGACTGAGAGCACAGTCTGGCCTGTGTGCTCCATGGGGCAGGCTGGGAATGTCTCACCCCTGGGCCTTGTCGCTCCTCCCCCCCGGTGAGCGATGCTGTTCCTCACTTTGTGCTTGTAGTTCTCCCTTCCCTGAGCAGCGTCTGGCCTCGGTGCTCTGCTCACTGCCGTGCTGTTCTCGCTGTTCCAGCTCAACCTGGGTGCCCCTGGGAGACTACGTTGCCTCCAACACAGACGAGTGCACAGCCACCCTGATGTACGCTGTCAACCTGAAGCAGTCTGGCACCGTCTCCTTCGAGTACATCTACCCAGACAGCAGCATCGTCTTTGAGTTCTTTGTACGTCTCCTTGGGTTGCTGCTCCTCGTTGGAGTTCTCCGGGACACGTTCCCGTATCAGAGTCTCCAAGGGCTGGTCTGATGCACACCCTGGGAGGGTCAGGAGGGATTGAACCTGGGACCTAAACACGTGAGCCTCTACTGCAGGGGTGGGCAAACTAAGCTGGCCCGCGAGCCGCACCATGCAGCTCCCAGAAGCCACTGCATGGCCCCGCTCCGGCTCCTACGCGTTCCAATGGGAGCTGCAGGGGCGGTGCCTGCGGGCGGGGCAGCGTGCAGAGCTGCCTGGCTGTGCCTCCATGTAGGGGCCGGAGAAGGGACATGCCACTGCTTCTGGGAGCCGCTTGAGGCAAGCGCCACTCGGAGCCTGCACCCCCTGAGCCTCTCCCCAACGCACTACCCCAGCCCTGAACTCCCCTGCTCTCCAAACCCCTCAATCCCAGCCCAGAGCACCCTCTTGCACCCCAAACTCCTCATCCCTAGCCCCACCCCAGAGCCTGCACCCCCAACCAGAGCCCTCAACCCCTCCCGCACCCCAACCCCAATTTTGTGAGCATTCACAGCCTGCCATACAATTTCTAATCGCCGATGTGGGCCTCGGGCCAAAAACTTTGCCCACCCCTGCTCTGCTGCCTGAGCTACCTGATCCAGCTGTGTTAGCCATGGCTGGGGCAGGCTCCTGACCTCTCACGTGGCTCAGATGCCACTAGCGGGGGACAGTCCAGCTGCTGTCACAGTCCCAAGAGGAAACGTGCATTGAGGGGTCCCTGCCCATCTCTCTGGCTCGGCAGGAGGTGGTTCAAGGTTGCCTGCAGGATTCTCTTGGTGCCCAACTGCTGGGAGTGCCGCCTGCTTGCACTGACCCGGAGGGCAGGATGGCCAAAGTGTGGCTGGGCTGTCCTCCAGGTTAATAAGCAAATACTCCAGGTCCCAGCATGCAGTGCTCCATCTCAAGCTGCTGGGTGGAGCACTGCATGCTGGGACATGTAGTCTCTGTGGGTGGTCCCTACAGTTGATGTCCGTCCTTCGTGTGATGCTCTAGGGCTTGTGCACGTTACTCATCTCACAGAGCCCAGTTTGAGGGGGCTGGGATGGCAGTGGAAGGGTCCTTTCAAAAACAGTCAGTGGGGTGAGAAACTGCACTAAGAACCCAGCAGCATGCCTCTGAGAACTGACCTGCCAAAACTGCATCCTCAGCCCGAGTTCCATGTGCCGTAGGTTCAGAATGATCAGTGCCAGCCAACCGTGGAGGAGTCCCGGTGGATGAGAACCACGGAGAAGGGATGGGAGTCCCACAACGTAAGTAGGAGCCAACTGCAAGATCCTCCACCTCCCCACACAGCGTGGCACGGCTGGGGGCATGGCTGGCAGGCTGTGGAGACCCACATCTGCACTCACAGCCAATGAGCTAACCCTGTGTCCCAGGGCTGCTGGAGGAGTGGCAAAGGTCCCTCCTCCCCATCACTGGGGGTGATCAGTTAAAATCCAACCAATAGCTGCTGGGGTCACACTCAGTGCCCCAGAGTGACTGTTCACTTAGAAAATCGTGGCCACAGGGGATATCCCCGGTGTCCCAGCCAGCACTCCCTCTGTCAGCACAGCTGGTTCGAAGGCCCAGGACGACAGATGATCTGTTGCTGAGTGCAGGACTGCTAGACTCTGATTCTGTCCCTGCCCACGCTGCTATAAGTCGGGAGTGCCTGCGCTTGGTGGAGCTGCAGCGGTCTGAAACCAAGTGAGATCAGAGCTGGGTCCCTGCTCTAACCACTGGGTATCACCCCATTCCTGTGTCAGCCAGTGCCTCTTTGGACCCTGCAAAGCAACGTCCCATTTCCTGCCAGGATTTGACCTACCCCCAGGGGGTTTTGTTTAATCTCGTAGGTGGAACTGAGTCGCGGTAACAACGTGCTGTACTGGAGAACCACGGCCTTCTCCGTGTGGTCCCAGGTCCCCAAACCCGTGCTGGTGCGGAACATTGGCATCACAGGTACGCGCTCACCCACTGCACGATCGCACCAGCCACTCCCCACCAGCCACAGTCCAAGCTGAATTGGTGTCCTTCCCTCCTGCCCCAGGGGTGGCCTACACTTCAGAATGCTTCCCCTGCAAAGCGGGCACCTACGCCGCCACCTCGGGATCTTCCTTCTGCCAGCTGTGCCCAGCCAACTCCTACTCCAGCAAGGGTGCTACCTCCTGCCAGCGGTGTGAGCCAGACACCTACTCAGGTAACAGGCTGTGTGTTCCCAGGCCTGCACCCCGGTACACAGCTGCTGCGTTAGGCACCCTGGGACCTTCTGATGTGACCCGGCCCAGCTGTGCTGTTCTCACTCCACTACAAACCCGCCCCGAGCAGCAGGGGCTGCCAGCGCATCACCATCGGTGTATCACTTCCTGTTCCCTGCCCACCTGTGGGATCTCCCGGCTGCACTTGTCTCACCCCCGGCAGTGCCCACCAGGAGCCTGGGAGGCTGACCTAGACCCTGGACTCGTCCCCGGACATTGCTGTCCCCTCCCCCCACCCCCTTACTGCTGTTGAAACTAAGGGTGAAGGTGGCTGCTTTGGTTTTCCTGCTTGTTCCCACGCCAGCGTCCCCAGAGATGACCACGGAGCCCTGCACAGAGAGATGGGACTGAACCTCTGTTGCCCTTCTCCCAAACTATGGGGGAAGGGGTGAGAGTAAGGGCCCAGGTCAAAACCGGGGGGAGGGAGGGAACAGGTCTGGTTTTACAAAAGAAAACTCTGCTCAGATGTTTAAAATCCCCCCCAACCCCCTTCTGTTTGCTTTGTCCCTGCTGCCCCGGAGCCAGCAGGGGAGCCCCCGAGGTTCCAGTTTTTCAGGCCTGCTATAAAGGGGAGTGATTTTGTTACAACATTCCTGCAATGGAATGGTGCATTTACCAGAAACTTCTGACTCTGGAGAATGTGGCGCAGCAGGTCATTCGAAGGCCAGCAGACTTCTCTGGGGCATCCCATCGAAATGAAAGCAGGCCCAGGAAAGTCCCACCTTCGGGAACCTGTCACAACAGTAATACTGTCCCTAGCTCTCATAGCACTTTACAAAGGAGGTCAGTATCCGTATCCCCAGTTGGGGAAACTGAGGCATGGAAAAGGGACGTGACCTGTCCAAGGTCATGCAGTAGTTCAGTGGCAGAGGCCTTGGGAAAGTCACTTACTCTCCCCCCCGCAGTCCGTCCGTCCGTCCAACAGGGATAGCGGCCCTGCCCTGCCTCACTGGGGATGTGAGGAGAAACACATCAAAGGCTACTCCAGCAATAGGAGCCGGAAGACACCTTAGATAGATAAACATACAGCACATAGTCAGTGCATCTTGACAGTGACTCTTGGGGGGAATACGCACCATTAGACCCCGGAAGGGTTAATCAGCGAGCAGCAGCTAGTCTGTGCATCATAGACAAGCCCCACATCACGTGAGGGACCCTGGACACGCTAATGGGAGGGTGTGAATTCTGAGGAAGAGCCAACGTTGTTCTCTCGCGGCACATGCTACTTGTGCTTCTGGGATTGAGTGGGCTGCGCTGCTCTCATTGCTTAGTTTTAACCACAATCTTTTTCTTTCTCAACAAAGACCAAGGCTCTAGCTCTTGCAAACCTCGTCCGCCCTGCACAGATAAGGATTATTTCTACACACACACGGTCTGCGACGCCAGTGGAGAGGTACGTGCCGGCCAGTCTGCCTTATTGTCACAGGGCTGCCTCGGGAGTCACAAGTTTCTATTGTTTAGCACCGCAGTAACACTGTGCTCTTCTGTTCATGTTCAAAGCATTGACCGGCATTAGCTATTGAAAGGACACAGTTTACTTAAGTCATGCTCCTGTCTGCAAACCTTGACTTGCCTTTGTTACGCCCAACCCTGTAAGAGCCTGCAGTGGGCAGAGAGCGCACCGTGTGTTTGCTTTGTGCGTCAGGCAGCGCTCTGTCTCAGACTGGTCTGACCATTTCCCTGCCCTGTCGGCGGAGAGCTGGGCAGCTTCCCTCATTGGGTGTGTCTTTCACACCCAAACCTGGGGAAAGCAGACTGACTCCATGGGGGCAAACCCACCGCTGGCCCATTGGTTAGGGTTGTGTCTTTTTACATATGAAGGGCACAGTGGGTCTGAACAACCGTGGCACTAAGTGTAGGCAGCATACAGGGCCTCACGACACACGCTGAACGGTTCGGGGGTCTCCTGGTGCGCAGAACACAGCGAGGGCCACTGGAAAGCTCACTAAGTACTTAAAGGGGTACCACCCAATTCCTCTACACTGCCGTTAGGGTTTGCGTACTCCCAGCCATTGTCCTGCTTTAAATACACAGGCGTAGCGAAAGTGAGACAGCCCGGGGGGCAGCTGTCAGGGAAAAGGGGAGTGTCATGAAGTCCCCGGGCGATGCTCTGGAACTGCTCCCTACAAAGCCAGTCAGGACTTTGGAGAGCCTCCTCTCCCTCGGAGCAGACTGTCTTCAGGGCAAGAAGCTCACACGGCTTCACCTCCTGGGTCTCTCCTGGGAGCATTCAGCATATGTCCCTCCGTGCGCTTCCCACAGCGAGTCCGCCCAGGCGGGGTCCTGGGGAAGCCAAAGGGTTCTGCACCCCCACTTCACAGTCAGACGTGACTCTCGGCCAGCCAGTAAAACAGGTTTATTAGACGACAGGAACACGGTCTAAAACAGAGCTTGTAGGTCCAGCGAACGGGCCCCCTCCGCCGGGTCCATTCTGGGGCCCAGCGAGGCAGACCCCCGTCTGCCCTCCCTTCCAGTCCCCAGCTAGCTCCAAACTCCGGTCCAGCCCCTCCTTCTCTGGGCTTTGTCTCTTTCCCAGGCCAGGAGATCACCTGATCCCTTTGTCTCCAACACCTTCAGTTGGCACCTTTGCAGAGGAGGGGCCCAGGCCATCAGTTGCTAGGAGACAGAGTGTCAGGCATTTATGTACACTGGCCCTTTGCTCTGCAGCAACCATACACCCTTATCCCACCACCTAGATACTTAAGAACTGCATAGGGGAAACTGAGGAAAACATTAAGAACAGTCCCACTTCGTCACATCTCTCCCCCCTTCGAGACCGACTTGAGCGGGGTCACTGCAGCCAGTGACCTGGGGAAGTTCGAACCCACCAACGTTCCCAGGGATGCCCCAACATCTCTCCCGTTCCTTAGTGAGAGTTACACCAGGCCCTTCCAGTTTCATGCCCTCCCTTTGTTCGAGTGCGCTTGATGGCACTCGCAGGCCGCATGTGGGAAGGCTTATGTGGCCCGTGCCCTTTTGCCACCCCAATACCCCTGGGGTTCAAACTGGGACTGGGTCTTCTCCCAGCACTTTGGTCTGGAGGGCTGCGATTCGGGCTCTCTTGGTTAAGAGCCCCTATCTTGACCTTGGCCAGCTCTGGGCTTGGGCAGCTGCTGCCCACCTTGTGGCCCAGATACAAAACCTCTGTCGTCCCCACCTTACACTTTTCAGCTTTTACAGTCAATCCCACCTCCTTGAGGCAGCCCATCACCCTCTTCACCTGGGACACATGTCCCTCCCAGGTCTGGCTAAAGACACACATGTCATCGATGTACGCCAGGGCCAAGTTCTCCATCCCCCTCAGCTTGTCTAGAATCTCCCCAGGCTTAGGCATGGGGTAGGCATCAGACACTGTGATGGCTTTAAGCTTCCAATAGTCCCCGCAGAACTAGATCATCCCGTCTTCCTTGGGGACCAGCCCCACGGGTGAGGCCCATGGGCTGTTGAATGGCTGGATCACATCTAAAGCCAGCATGTCCTTGACCTCTCTCTCCAGGTTCTGGGCTACTGTCCCAGTGACTCTGAATGGGGAACACCTGATGGGGAGATTGGCTCCCACCTCAGGGAAGAGATCCACCAGGGGGTCTTCCCCCTTCTCCTCCCAATCCTCCCTTTTCAGGTCCAGGGGTCCCCTCACTTTCCTCCCATACAGCAGCTTGAAAGGGAAGAACCCTGTGGATTCCTGGGGCACCACCAGCTGCCTCCCGATTCCGCACAGTTCTACTTCCCCTTGGGGAGCCCATTCCTGGTACAGGAATCCCTTCTCCCACAGGACTCTGTCCCTCCAGCCTTCCCCACGGGGGTTTGCAGCGCTGTGGCCAGCAAGTTCCCTCAGCTAATTCAAGGAGGGATCCCTCTGCAGCTCGGTCTGGAATTCAGCTGCTGGGGAAGGGAGTGGGACCTGCTCCGTCTCACTGGCTGGGCCTGGGGTCACAGCCCCCCCAGCCCTGTCCCTGGTAGCTCCCTCCCTGCTGTGTAATCACTTCCCAGCAGCATGTCTGGACCAGGCAAACCTGGTTGGCAGCCGACCTGTCCTGTCTGGGTGTCCCCCCACTCAGCTGGGGTCTCAGCTCCCACCGTGCTCAGCGCTGCCCTTGCTGTCCCAGTGGGGCCAGGCAGCAAGCTCTCTGCTCTCCTTACAGCATCAGAGCCAGCGTGAGCTCGGGTGTGCAGGGGGACGGGGAGCATCTCTCCATCCCACTCAGCCCCAGGGGTCTGGTTACAGGTAGGCAGGTATTCTGAGCCCAGCAGCCCCTCCTTTCTGCCAGCCAGGTCATTTGCATTTTCACTGACCATTTCCATCTTAGCCAAATGGTTCCCTGGATCCTGTCCCAAAGAGACACAGTCACCCCCCTCAACAGGACCTCACAGCTGATATCCTCCTGGGTCTGCACAGGGATCCAGGCCATAGGCAGGGTGAGGGGCTTCATCCCTGGGACCTTCACCCAGGTCACACAGCCCCTCAGCATCTGCGGCTGCACCACCCGGGGCCCGACAACAGTTCTCTCTGTCCCAGGGTCTCGCCACCCCAGGCATGTCCCCCCCATTGACCATCACCTTCCACTCCCTCTGGGGGTTCGAGGGGCCTGAGCCCAGGAGACTCCACGCAGACATATAGGCCGGGCCAGGAGTGGGAGCCTGTCCACCACCCCACCCCTCTGGCTGACAGCGTCTATGGCCTTGGGACCCAGCAAGGGAGCTAGATACTGGGGCTTTTCCGCAGGGTCCCCCTGGTTCAAATCACCAGCCTGCGTGAAGGCCGTGTGGTGGGCATCCACATCTCCTCCCTCCTTAACCAGGGGCAGCAATTTAGTGTCGAGGCTCCCTGCAGAACTGGCAGCCCGGGGTCTATGCCCACTCACTCCTGGGAGCCCCCTATGCCTCTCCGCTCCACCATCGCCAGTCCATGCTGCTGTTGCTTTTCCTGCAGCTTTTCCTCGGGCTCTTGCTCTCTCTCACAGTCCTCTCGCTCTCTCGGACTCAGCTCCCATCCGTCTCCGATCCCCTGATGGGGAACCCGATCGTGAAGACCCCCGTCTGGTTGGGGACCAGACTCTTGGGGATGCCTGGCTACTGCTCCAGCTGCTCCCAGATCCTCTTCTAGCCCCGTCTGGATCAGGAATCTGCTCCTTAGAGCAGTCCTCATCCTCCAGCTGCACGATTAACTGGGCCTTGGTGAACTTCCCAATGCGTAACCCTCTCTTTTTGCACAGGATCACAATGTCCTTCTTGAGGAGATGGTGATAGGCCATCACTTCGCTGTTCCCAAGTTTCTTTGGACTCACAGGCCTGTGTGCTCTCAGCTCCCCCACTGTTTCCAGGAAGAACCCCTAGTGTGCCAGCCCTTCTCGTGGTCACCACCTCTTTGCCAGGGTTGAGCTTCAGACTCCTCCACCCCTGGGACCGCTCGCTGCAATCCCCAGGGGAACCCTGTTACAGCAAAAGTCCTTCTCTCTCCCAGGGTCGAGCGGCAAGCTCCTCCGCCCCTGAGACTGCTCGCTGCAGTCCTCAGGGGGACCCCGTTACTCCAACAGTCCTCCTCGCTGGTCACACACTCCTAGGGGTTAATGGCCCCCTGAAACCGTCCCTCTCTGAGCCTTCACCATGCTTGGTCCTTGATATCCCCCCTGTTTTACTGCTCCCCAGTCATTTACTGCAAGAAGCGCCATTCACGGGGTGCAGTACATCCCACCAGTTGTCATGGAGTCCCCGGGCGATGCTCTGGAACTGCTCCCTACAAAGCCAGTCAGGACTTCGGGGAGCCTCCTCTCCCTCGGAGCAGACCGTCTTCAGGGCAAGAAGCTCACATGGCTTCACCTCCTGGGTCTCTCCTGGGAGCATTCAGCATATGCCCCTCCATGCGCTTCCCACAGCGAGTCCGCCCAGGTGGGGTCCTGGGGAAGCCAAAGGGTTCTGCACCCCCCACTTCGCAGTCAGACGTGACTCTCAGCCAGCCAGTAAAACAGAGGTTTATTAGACGACAGGAACACTGTCTAAAACAGAGCTTGTAGGTCCAGCAAACGGGCCCCCTCCGCCAGGTCCATTCTGGGGCCCAGCGAGGCAGACCCCCGTCTGCCCTCCCTTCCAGTCCCCAGCTAGCTCCAAACTCCAGTCCAGCCCCTCCTTCTCTGGGCTTTGTCTCTTTCCCAGGCCAGGAGGTCACCTGATCCCTTTGTCTCCAACACCTTCAGTTGGCACCTTTGCAGAGGAGGGGCCCAGGCCATCAGTTGCTAGGAGACAGTGTGTCAGGCATTTATGTACACTGGCCCTTTGCTCTGCAGCAACCATACACCCTTATCCCACCACCTAGATACTTAAGAACTGCATAGGGGAAACTGAGGAAAACATTAAGAACAGTCCCACTTCGTCACAGGGAGTGAGCTAGACTTGGGAAGGCACCTGTGCGAGTACCTGCATGCAGGCTAGAGCCCAGTATGACTGCAGCATAGTGGCGCTGCCTGGAGTGGGACCTGCCAGCACACCCTGCTCCTGAGTACGGCCGGCGGGAAATGGAGTCTCTTCTCCATTCATTTTCGTTTGTTCTCTGGAAACGCACATTTGCAGTCAAGGGGCTGGTGTGGGGTTTGATAACAACACAAACCTGAGCGATTGCCAGGAACCAGCCTCTTCTCCACATGGCTCCGCTTCAACCAAACGGTCTTGTCGGTGTGGGAGCAGCCGTGACACAGTTCTTCAGCCTGCTCTAGTGCTGAACTGTCCCAAGCCCTCTCCTCTGAATGCTCAGCCGCTGCCCAGCGCTCTCAGGCACTGCGGGGTCTGAGCAACTCCCAGTCTTGCCACATGTCTCCCCGCACGCCCCTGGGGGGCAGGGCAAAGCTGTTCTCCCACGTACAGCTGGGCCCCGAGGGCCGAAGTGACCTGTCACTCAGGAGTCTCTGGCAGAGCTGGGTAATGATCCCACGTCTCTCGGGTGCTGGGTGGGTGCCCTGAGCACTGAGCCATCTCCCCAGGTCAGGGACAGGTCCAACGTAGCACTTCTCACCTCATCCCCTTGGGAGCATTCGTGTTAAAAATGGCACCAGATCCTCAGCCCAAAGGGAGTCTGGTATTCCTGGCGGCATGGCGGGGCCTGGAGGAGACAGACTGGAATGTGCCATGTGCTATGGGGATCCTGGGCTGGCAGAATGGTGTGTAGAGGAGAGATACCAGCATAAGCTAGAGCAGCCAAAGGGCTGCTCTGCCTTCCTTTGCCCCACCAGCTCCCAGCAGCCAAGGATCAAGCTCCCTGGCTCTGTTTAAAGCCCCGCCCCTTTACATCCCAATGCACAGTCCTGGGGGTGGGAGCAGGGCTCTGGGAGTCTGAGCTACTGGCTCCTGGTCCCAGCTCTGCTCTGCCTTGCTATGTGGCTTGGGAAAACCCTCAGCTGGGTGCAATGCGCTTCCCAGGCCCATGGTGAGGTTCGGTTAACAACTTTGCATGAAGTTTGGAGATCCTCCAGTGAAAGGGGCGTAGAACTGCAAAGCCTTGGCACGACAGCTCCTGCATCCTGTCAGCAGCTGGCTCTGCTGCCTGCCAGCCTGCGGTGGGGTGGGGGGGCTTCCCTTCAGGATCAGGGTGGTTTCTGGTTCAGAAGAAATCTCCACTCGCCTCCCCAGGGAGCGTGCTGGGCAGGTTGCAGAGTAGCCGATGGGAGTGTGTACGCGCTGACCACCCTGCCAGGGATCTCCTCTGGCGTTACCCGCTGCACGGAGCCCCTGTGGGGCCTTACTCAGCCCAGCTGTGATGGCTGTTATTGCACACTGCTGGGGGGGGGGTCCCATGTACAACAGCGTCTCCTTGTGGAGGTGATTCGTTTTCTGTCTCCCCACCAAGCTCACACCAGCTGCCAAGTGTCCCTGCCAGGCCCAGGCTGGGCCATGCCCACTCTCACCTGCTTTCTGTGCTCTTCCAGACTCAGTTAATGTTTAAGTGGGCAGAACCAAAATCCTGCAGCGAGGATCTGCCTACAGCCATGCACCTGCCCCCCTCAGGGGTGAAAACCAAGTGCCCGCCCTGCAACCCTGGGTTCTTCAAAACCAACTCCAGCGCCTGTGAGCCCTGCCCATCCGGCTCGTACTCCAACGGCTCCGGTAATGCCACCCTGTCTATGTCGGCTGAGTCCGGCGGGACTGGAGCTCGGCTCTCCCAGCAAGGCACAGTCTGGGTTTTCTCCCCGTTAGCAATGCTCCGTGGGCCAGGGAATCAGGGCAGGTTTGAGTTCTTGACCTGGGGTGAGTCACCAGCCCAGCCTTTCCCATGTTGCTAAATGGGAGGGTAGGCCTGGCTAGCTCCCTGCCAGGGCCCTGGGGTATGGAGAAGGGATCCCTGCACACAAAGGGGCAGAACCCCCAGCCGTCTCCTCGGCGTTTTGTCAGGCAAGAAGAAGCATTTGGCTCTCCTGCCTCGCACAGGGCAGAGAACTAGGGACGCCCGCATCTCACTCATAGCTTGTGGTTGAGCCAGAGGCTGGATTTGAGAAAGAAACACTCCATCCCGTCCTGGAGAATCCACCCCATCCCTTAACCATTCCATTAAGTAATTGCCCTCACTTAAAATCTGCCCCTTATCTCTGCCTGAGCTTCTCTAGCTTCAGCTTCCGGCCACTGGATCCTGTTCCTTGGCATCCCCCTCTGACCATCCTCCTCTGCTCGTTCCATGTGTGCGTCCCGCCATGTGTCCCCATGGATTGCACACACAGCTAGGGAGGCAGCGTGCCCTGGAAGTTGGCCCCCTCCACGGACTGGGAGTGAGACCGCTGGAGACTGCACCTTCCTGCTCCTGCTGCATGGAATCCATGGCCAAAGCGCAGCGCTCTCCACCCACTTCCAAAGCTGCACTAGAGTAACATGGTTTCCCTCTGCTCCCAGGCTGCATCAGCTGTGCTGCTGGGACCGAGCCGGCGCTGGGCTTCGAGTACAAGTGGTGGAACACCCTGCCGGCTAACATGGAGACGACCGTCCTTAGCGGAATCAACTTTGAATATAAAGGGATGGCAGGTACCTGTGCAGGGGCGTTTACCAGTGTGCTTTCCACAGGGGGCTGGCCGTGCTTCCCCTGATGCAGGAGACGCTGCAGCTGCGGGGGCTCGGTTAGCTCTCAGGATGAAGATGGCCCTCGAGTGGGCAGCTCTGCACCCAGGTTTTTGTCCCGGTGGTACGGACGGCGGGTATAATAGGCCAGGGGAGGCTCTGCTTCTGCTGCTAGACCCCTGGTTGCTCGGTTTTGGGGGGAAGTTTTGTTTTGTTATGCCCCATGCAGGTTCCACGGCAGCTGAGGAGATGGTATGTGCTATTCAGCTTCCGGGATTCATTAGTATTCTCCCTGGACTCCAGAGAGAATACTGATGAACCCAGGAAGCTGAGTAGCAAATACACCGCCTCAGCCGCCCCGGAACCTGCATGGGGCATAGCAAAAGCATCTTCCAGAGAAGAATCTGAGATGCTTTTCTCCGGGCAGCTTGGGGTCTGGGGAGGGGAGACGCGGCACGGCTGCAGCTGGCCCTGGACTCCTCCGGGCAGGTGTAGGGGGCTCAGAGGTTTGGCCAGCCTGGGGCTCCTCTGGCCGCATGGGGGGGGGAGGGGGGAGGAGGAGAGGGGGTCTCGGAGATCCAGCCGGGCAGGGGGTGCTTGTCCCTGCGATAGTTATCCTGGTACCATCCCTCGCACGGTTCCCCGTCGTCCGGGACTAGCCGTGTCAGTACAGGCTCCTTGGTGCCCCCACACCAGAGGGTGGCACTGGTGGGTGCCGGCAACACTAAAGCAATGCAACAAACCCAAAGCAGCAGCCAGGCAGTGGAGGGCGACTCGCCCACGCTTTGTCAGTGTCCGATGTGGCTCCCACCAAAGCCACTGGCTAAAACCCATCAGGGGGCACAAAGGTGCCCAGGAGGGGCGGGAGATGAGAATTCTCCTGTCGCCCTCCCCACCGGGGGCAGCACTCCACCCCTCTGCCCAGGAGGAAGTGACCGCACAAAGCACCAGATGGGGTGTGACGCCCTCCACCTTGATCTGCCCCGTAAATGTCCTTTGTCCCTGTGGCACTGTTCTGGTGGTGGTTGTGCCCTGGAAGTCCTGAGAGGCTGTGACTGGTTCTGACTCTTGGCCTCTGCTGTTCCAGGGTGGGAGGTGGCTGGTGACTACATATATACAGCAGCAGGCGCCTCCGACAACGACTTCATGATCCTGACAATGGTCGTTCCTGGGTTCAGGTGAGAGCTGGGGTGACATGCCTCTGGACTCACTGCGCCTGGGATTCCAGGCCCCAGAAAGCCGCAGGGGTCAGTGCTCCACAGGACCGATTTCAGCGGATCACTGCCCTGCGGGCAGGTGCTACACCTCAGTGCACAGATGAGCTCAGTTGGAAGGGCTGCCCTTGCTCCCAGTGCAGGAAGCTGGTTTTATTGATTATGCTCGTTCCAGCAATGCCTATGGGCTGGCCAGGACTAGGCCTTGTCGTGCCAGGGGCTGTACAGACAGTCCCTAAGATCTCACGGTCTGACCAGACCAGACAGACCAGGGGGAGGGAGGGGAGAACTGGGCAGCCGGGTTGGTGCCAGGACTTTGTGGGAGGTGGGTTTAGTTAGGAGGGGATAAATGACAGGGAGAGGGATGTGGAAGGAAAGTGGGGGCAGGGCAGCAGAGCCGGGGGGCAGAGGCAGGAGTGGAGTGAAGCTGAGGGAGGGGATTGGCTATTCGTGCCCATCAGCCCAGAGCAGGGAAAGCCTAGTCAGAGCTGTAGGAAAGACCCTGCTTTGGCCGTGGCTCCAGCCCCCCTCTGGCTGGCTCCTCCCTGCGGTTTTTCCCAAGGCCACGTGGTCAGGGGAGGGGTGGGCACCCCCGGGTCCTGGAGCCCCATAGGCAGGGCGTCTCCCCTGCACACTATCTGGCCCAGGAGGGTGCTGGGAGATAGGCCCATTTTCCCCCTCTCCATGCAGCAATCCCTGCTCTCGCTGCTCCTACGGGCCAGGTCACACAGACTGAGGCCCAAACTCCATCACTGGGGTAAATCTGGAGTAAACCCACTCAGCGGGGTCACTGAGCAGAACCTGCCTCCCTGCGCCAGTCACCCTGACCTGGCGGGTCAGCGCTGCGCACCCAAGCGCTCTCTCAGTCCTCGCCGGTGCCTGACGCAGCCTGGGATCTGCTCTGTGTTCGCAGGCCCCCACAGTCAGTGCTGGAGGACGTCGAGAACAAAGAGGTGGCAAGAATCACCTTTGTCTTTGAGACGGTCTGCAGCGTGAACTGCGAGCTGTACTTCATGGTGGTAGGTCAGCTTGGCTGCTTCCTGCGCTAGTTCCATTCCCACAAATCGACGCTCTCTGCCGCCTGTATGAGGGGCCTCCCCTGCCCCATCACGCCCCCTACAAAGTGTTGTGGGCTGTCTTGTGGGCAAACATGCAGCTTTCAGGTCTCTGAGTTGAGTTGAGTCCAGCCCGGTGAGCAGGGGCCAAAGGCCGGTTGATGGGTTGTGGGAGAAGCTTGCCCAGACGCTGCCAATGCTGTACCCGCTCTGGGTTAGGGGCCGTCTCTCTCCAGGTCTGTCACTCAAGCACTTCCCTGCAGCTCTGAATTCCCTTAACCCTGAAAAGTCCTGTCCCCAAAGGAGCTGGACGAATGACCCCTGGAGAGGGGCATCTCTGAGTGCCCGCACCTCGCCCCACTGTGCACACCCCTCCACCCAGCACACTACTCTCCTTGCCGCCCTGGCATGCTGAGGTCTCCCTCCCAGCTGCTGCAACCCACCACTCCTGTGCCTCAGTGTCCTGCCCTCACTGCCGTGTCCCCTGCTGCCCACCGGTCTGCCAGCCAGCACCATCCATCTGCATTGCCATGTGTGCCCGCTGAGCACCGTCTCCCCTCTCAACCCGGTCCTGGGAGTGGCCATCACGTCCTGGCAGAGAGGTCAGGTGAGATTAGCAGGGTCTGGGTATCAGGGATGAGGCTTCTAACCAGCTACATGCACAACATGATCCCTTCCGCGAGGGGAAAGGACAGGAGCTTCAGCTGTGGCTGGGGGGTTCTCCATCTTGAATGGATAAAAGTGAGAGATGGTTGAACTACTATGTGCAAATGGTTCACACTGGCCATGTGGTGTGCATCCCTCCTGTTCTCTGATTGGTCTCCTGAGGTGCCTGGCATCACTTCTGCCCTGATTGGATGGCTGGAAGCTTTTCTAGAGCGAGCACTAACTCAGGAACGTCTCGTGGGCAATTCACAAGTCGTGGCTGGGTCGGTGCCCAGTGGGCGTCCGACTGCACCACCCAAATGGCCCGGGAGTCACAGCACCTGAGTTACTCGCTCTGAATTCCAGCTGCAAAAGCTGAGCGCCCAAGTGGCTTTTGGAGCTGGAACCTGACAGCAGACGTCTCTGAGGTGCTTTGAAAGCTGCAGCCCGGCTGGGCTGTGACCCAAGAGGATTTGCGTCATGAGGGCCAGCAGCGGGAGGGGACTTGGGGGTCTGGGTAATAAAACCCTTCTGGGTAGAAGGGACCACTCTGGTGCCCACTGACCAGCCCCTTTTGTCTTCCCACCCCATGGCAGGGCGTGAACTCACGGACCAACACGCCTGTGGAGACCTGGAACGGCTCCAAAGAGAAACAGTCCTACACATACATAATTGAAAAGAACGCCACAATGAGCTTCACCTGGGCCTTCCAGCGGACAGCATATCACGAGGTGGTAAGAGGGCAGCGTCCCAGTCCCAAAGCTCCTGGCTCCTCTCCTGTCCTGGAGACCATCTGTCCATGCCAGAAACTGGGATTTCCTTGCAATCAATTCTGGTTAGCAGTGTCCCTTCAGCAGAGGCTGTGCAGCTGTGGGCAGGGCACAGGCCTGGGGCTCGAGAGACCCCAGCTTCAGTTCCTCCCTCTGTCCCGGTGAGACCTTGGGCAAGTCCCTTCGCATCTCTGCCTGAGCTCCCATCTGTGCAGTGGGGACGGTAGCTCCACCCTCCCTCCCAGTGTCACCACGTCAGTGCTTGCGAGGGGTTCAGATGCTGCGGGCCGGGGGCCAGGCCCCAAGGTAGGGAGCCGGGAAATGTCCCTTCATGTTCCTACCACGCAGTCCCAGGACAATCTCTGCGTTCCTGGCACGCCCTGGGGCAGCACTGTGGGTGCCGGGGGTTCACGGGCCTCCCTCTATTTCAGGGAAGAAAGTACACGAACGACGTCGCCAAGCTCTACTCAATCAACGTGACCAACGTGATGGATGGGGTGGCCTCTTACTGCCGGCTCTGCGCCCTGGAGTCCTCGGGCTCCTGCACCTCCTGCCCGCCTGGGAACTACATCGACCGAGCCTCCGGCGCCTGCCACCCGTGCGCACCCAGCACTTACCTGAAAGCCCACCAGCCCTATGGCAGTCAGGCCTGTATCCCCTGTGGCCCCGGCACAAAGAGCAACAAGGTGTTGTCCCCTCTTCCTCCCTCTTACCCATGATGATGTGGGGCTGGTGCACCAGGTGCTGCACAAACACCCACGCTGAGTCAGTCCCATCCTGAGCAGGCTGGTCCTGCAGCCTGGTGTGTGTGAGCAGCCTCGTACCTCCAGTGACGTCATGTGGGCAGATTGACCGGCTTGCCTGGATCTGACTGCAGGATCCGGGCCGGGTCCCTGGCATAGGTGCCAACTCCATGGGTGCTCTGGGGCTGGAGCACCCATGGGGAAATATTGGTGGATGCTGAGCACCCACCAGCAGCCAAGCTCCCGGCCCCACCCCGGGGGCGGACTTGGGGCGGAGACTTTAGGGAAAGTGGTTGGAATGGGGGCGTGACAAGGGTGGAGTCGGGCAGAGCCGGCGCTGGGGGGGTCGAGCACCCACCGGCGCCAGGAGAAGTTGGCGCCTATGGTCCTGGTAAGGGAGAGCTCCCCTGGCTCTGTTCAAACTCGCAGTGACTGCACGTGTTGCAGACCTCCCCAGCCACAGGGTGAGGTCGCCGAACCAGTGCAAGTCTCTTTCCTGCTGGGCTGATGGGTTTGTAAAGTGTGATCCCGAGTTCAAGTTCCGCTCTCCTGTGCGGAATCCAGGCTGCCACGCAGTTGGCGGCCCGCCCGTCAGTAGCAGACGGGCAGGGCTGGGCCTATAGTGAATGCAAAGGGGATTTTTTTCTGAGGCTGCTGGACATGTATTGTGACAACGTTCCTCCTCTATCTTGGTGGGTCCTGCGCTTATTGGTGGATTTTCTTGCCTCAGAGATTCACCATGTGGGTTGGGGAACAGCCCAGAGACCTTCCCCTCTGGAAGAACCCACAGTCCAGGTCAAGTGGGAGGTTTGGGGGAATCCGGGCCGGCCCTCTACTCCGGGTTCCAGCCCAGGGCCCTGTGGACTGCAGCTGTCCATAGTGCCTCCTGTAACAGCTGCATGACAGCTACAACTCCCTGCGCTACTTCCCCATGACCTCCACCAAACACCTTCCTTAGTCTCACCACAGGACCTTCCTCCTGGTGTCTGATAACGCTTGTGCTCCTCAGTCCTCCAGCAGCACACCCTCTCACTCTCAGCTCCTCGCACCTCTTGCTCCCAACTCCTCACACTCGCACCACAAACTGAAGTGAGCTCCTTTTTAAAGCCCAGGTGCCCTGATTAGCCTGCCTTAATTGATTCTAGCAGTTTCTTCTTAATTGGCTCCAGGTGTCCTAATTAGCCTGCCTGCCTTAACTTAGGGTTACCATACGTCCGGTTTTTCCTCGGACATGTCCGGCTTTTCGGCAATCAAACCCCCGTCCAGGGGGAATTGCCAAAAAGCCGAACGTGACCGGGAAAATGCCGGCTGGGCACTTCCCCTCCTGCGGCGGCTCTGCTCCTCCCCTGACTCTTCGGCTCTGTTTAAGAGCCGAGTGCTACGGGCTTTGGGCAGCCCCCATACCTCCGGACCCTGCGCCGCCAGAGCCCGGGAGGGGAAGTGCCCGGCTGGGGGCGCAGGATCCGGAGGCAAGGGGGATGCCCGAAGCCCAAGCGCTACCGGCTTCACAGTTTGCCAGGCAGCCTCCAGACTCTGCGCCCCCGGCTAGGCGCTTCCCCTCCTGGGCTCCAGCTGCGCTGGGGAAGTGCCGTGCGGGGGCGCAGGGTCTGGGGGCTGCCCGGCAAACCGTGAAGCCGGTAGCGCTCGGGCAGCCCTTTTCGCGTGGCTGGGAGTGGGAGGGAGGAGGGGGGCGGAGTTAGGGTGGGGTTGAGGCGGGGAAGGGGCGGAGTTGGGGCAGGGCTGGGTGGGAAATTGGCGGGGCCAGGGCCCCGTAGTGGGTCCTCTTTTTTTAATTTGTTAAATATGATAACTCTGCTTAACTGGTTCTAGCAGGTTGCTGATTACTCTAGTGCAGCCCCTGCTCTGGTCACTCAGGGAACAGAAAACTACTCATCCAGTGACAGTATATTTGCCCTCTACCAGACTCCTGTACCCCACTGGTCTGTCACAGTATATTCTGTGGTACCAGAAGTGCTAAGGCAGTCTTCTGCCTGGGTCACCACACAGGGTCTCCAAGGCCTGGTCTGCCCATATCATTCGGGCTGACCATGCTCCAATTGTCCTGTACATGGCCAGATTCTGCCGGGAGTTACGTTGACAAATCCAGCAACTGTTGACTTCAAGACTTATCCTAGTGTGGAACTGACAGAATTCCCAGCAGAATGGGCCTCCCGAGACTTATTTCCTTAGAATCTTTTTTTCTCTCCCCTCCGCCCCCAGTTTTTCCTGCCTTTAGCTTAGGCTGGGTCTACACTACCCGCCTGAATCGGCGGGTAGAAATCGACCTCTCAGGGATCGATTTATCGCGTCCCGTTGGGACGCGACAATCGATCCCCGAATCGACGCTCTTACTCCACCAGCGGAGGTGGGAGTAAGCGCCGTCGACGGGAAGCTGCAGAGGTCGATTTTGCCGCCGTCCCTACAGCGTGGTAAGTCGGCTGCGATACGTCGAATTCAGCTACGCTATTCGCGTAGCTGAATTTGCGTATCTTAAATCGACACACCCCCCCCCCCCCGTAGTGTAGATGTAGCCTTAGATCCTGTAACATTGGAGTGGGGGTGGAATTCCGGGCTCAGAATGACACAAGGCCAGTGTGCACATCCCTAGATAAAACTCTTTCATTGCCACCGAACCTGCATGGCATGTGGGGCAACACGGACAGCGCGCCCACAGCAAGGGTGGCCCAGTGCTGAGTGTGCTAGCCTGGGCTGGGGGACACTTGGGGCCAGTCCCTTGCTCTGCTTAGGCTCCCTCGATGACCTTGGTCTCTGTTCCTCAGTCTGTGAAATGGGATAATGGCCCTGCCCGGAGGGTGAATACAGGGCAGATTCTGATCTGCCACATAACACAGTGACGGGGGCCAGGTAAATTACTTGAGTCCCTGTAGAAATGCCCATGTCCTTCCATGTGTCAGGGATGCTGCTGCCTTAAAACACAGCCCATCCAGAGGCCATTTTTTTAGTGTCCCTGAGCCAGCAGCAGCTGTTCAGCACGCTCTGGAAGGGCTCGTACTGGCTGACTGGGACGTTCCTCTCCCCAGATCCATTCGCTGTGCTACAACGACTGCCGCTTCTTGCTTGACAAGGACGGCAGGACCCTGGAGTACGATTTCTCAGCACTGGCCAACAGCACGTCCTTCGCAGGCAGGCCAAGCTTCACCTCGAAGGGGCTGAAATATTTCCATCACTTCAGCATCAGCCTGTGTGGGAACCACGTGAGTGCACGGGGGCGTTCCTGTATCCTCTGCTGACCCCCGCAGCCTGGGGCAGCTGAGGCTGGGATTTCAGCCAATGCCGATGCTAAATCTGGCTGCTTTTGTCTGCTTATGTATTGGCACCACCAGCAAGAATGGGAGTGGTGTTGAGATCTGCACTGACTTACCACTCGGGTTGACGCATCTAGTGTTATTCTGCAGAGCTGACGATGCGCCAAAGGCGGCGTGGTACGTTGGCAGTCGGCAGTCGCCCCACTGACATTAGGCCAGGGCACCAGTGGTAACACCCAAGTTCCTATGGAAAGTGCCATAGGATCTTTAATGTCCACAAGCATCAAGGCGTCGTGCATTTAGATAAGAACATAAGAACGGCCAGATTGGGTCAGACCAATGGTCCGTCTAGCCCAGGATCCTGTCTTCCAACCAATGTCCCAGAGGTAATGAACAGAACAGGAAATCATTGAATGATTCATCCCTTGTCGTCCACTCCCAGCTTCTGACAGTCAGAGGTTTAGGGACACCCAGAGCATGGTGCTGCATCCCTGCACATCCTGGCTAATAGCCATTGATGGACCTATCCTCCATGAATTTATCTTGTTCTTTTTTGAACCCTGTTATAGTCTTGGTCTTCACAACATCCTCTGGCAAAGAGTTTCACAGGTTGACTACACATTGTATGAAGAAATACTTCCTTTTGTTTGTTTTAAACCTGCTGCCTATTAATGTCATTGGGTGACCCCTAGTTCGGGTGTTATGAGAAGGGGTAAAGAACACTTCCTTATTCACTTTCTCCACACTGTGACGGGGTGCCTGCGATGGGCCACGCTGAGAATGCCACACTCAGGGCAGACTGCAAGAAGCAGAGCAGACAATCCCCCAAACTGGTGGCTATTTCTATAGTTAGATGCACCAGGACAGTAACAAAAGAGCTTCTGTGGTGCCACACTGGTTAACCAGAAGCCAAACACTGTCCCCTTTAGCATTCCAGCCCTTGGGGCCCATCCTGACAAACAAGTTACTGAAAACCCAGTTCACCATCTGTGAGGTTCTACTAATCCCAAAGGATCAGACACTTACCCTCAGATCAGTATGTATCTCAGATCTTACCCAGATATCACTGTCATTGGCTGATTGCTGTCAGCCAATCCTTAGTACACTAACTAGAGGTTTATTAAGAAAAGGAGAGCTATAAATGGTTAATAAATCATATACATACAAATGATTGCAAACTCTTTATATCAGGTTTATAGCAGTGATGGAACGGCCGGCCGGCCGGCTTGTAAAGTCTCTCTGGTAACTTGCAAGAGATTGGAAGGTCCCCTCAGTTCAAAATGCTCCTTGCAGTTGTAAATCCACAGTCCAGAGAATTGGAGCAGGAAAGAGGCAAAATGGAGATGTCTCAGGGGTCTTTTATATCCTCTGCCATGTACATAGAAACTTGCTGTCCCAAACAAAGCCCACAACCATGGTGGGTGGAAAGTTACTGGCCCAAGATGGAGTCCAGGGGCACATGAGCATATCACATGTTACCGATAGCCTCTGTGTTTCAATGTTAGCACCTAGCGGTGTATGCATGTCACAAATAACGACTCATTTTATTTCAGAGACTTAAGTTTAATAACCGGAGAAAACACAATATTTTGGTCAAACAGGATATGACAAGGAGGAGCAGTCTTGCAGATAGGGCTCTCCTAACTCCATCTTTCATTGGGAAACCAGTCCTTAGGCGTGAAGGAACTGGGAACGCACGAAGAATGTGGTGGGGGAGTTTGGGGGAAGGTATTGTCACAGACTCACAGATCGTGCCCATTCTTGGCCCCGTGGTCCATGGGGGGGGTGCCCCTTTCAGTGCGACAGCCCTTCTCAGGGATCCACTCTCTCTCGGGGTCAGGCCCCACCACCTCCTGGAGCCACACCTCTCTGAGCCTTAGCACACCTGTTTCTCGCCATTGGCCCCCTCAGGGAGTCCACTTGCTCTGGACCCCCCCGGGCCTCCACCCCCGAAGGGGTTGATGCAACCCTGTGCTCTAGACTGGAGTGACGCTCAGCCAGCGTAAAACAGGAGGGTTTAGTGAGAGTTGAATACAGCACAGGAAACTCTCAGGGCCTCAGGCCTGGCCTCCCTCAGCCCAGCACATCCCAGTCTCTCTGCATCCAGGTGGGCTCTGCCTGCTCCCCCTCTCCACCCTGAGCCTCCCTGCTTCCCAGCTGGGCATCTGAGATCCCTGGCCCCAAGCCCCGCCTCTGTCCATTGTCTTCTCTCCAGGTAAACAGGGTCGTAAATTGGGGCCTCCTCTCCTCGCTTCTGGCCTCTGTCTGGAACCGGCTGGTTAGGTCACTGGGTCCTCACTCTGCAGCCCATTGTTCTCCCACTGGCCAGAACTGGCTGCAACTCCTGAGCTGGGTCTCTGGGTCGGGGTCTCAGGTCACCAGTCGCTGGGGTATCCATCCTCCAGGCCATTGGCTGGGATCCCAAGTTCCCTCTCCGGTCCTCTGTAACAACAAACTCCCTCTCCCCTCACCTCGTTAAACCAGTAACACCCTGGGAAACTGAGTCCCACCCCCTCTGCATGTAAACCATTGAAACCCCACCAAAAACAAGAAAATCCCCCACTTCGTCACAGGCATGGACCAGAGTTCTGTAGTGGCTGGAGGGGGAGTTGGGTATGGGCTCAGATTGCAGGGTAATAGGGACTTCCATCATCTCTTTCATAGAATCATAGAATATCAGGGTTGGACGGGACCTCAAGAGGTCATCTAGTCCAACCCCCTGCTCAAAGCAGGACCAATCTCCAACTAAATCATCCCAGCCAGGGTTTTGTCAAGCCGGGCCTTAAAAACCTCTAAGGATGGAGATTCCACCACCTCCCTAGGTAACCCATTCCAGTGCTTCACCACCCTCCTAGTGAAAAAGTTTTTCCTAATATCCAATCTAAATCTCCCCCACTGCAATTTGGGACCATTACTCCTTGTTCTATCATCTGGTACCACTGAGAACAGTCTAGAGCCATCCTCTTTGGAACCCCCTTTCAGGTAGTTGAAAGCAGCTATCAAATCCCCCCCTCGTTCTTCTCTTCTGCAGACTAAATAATCCCAGTTCCCTCAGCCTCTCCTCATAAGTCATGTGCTCCAGCCCCCTAATCATTTTTGTTGCCCTCTGCTGGACTCTTTTCAATTTTTCCACATCCTTCTTGTAATGTGGAGCCCAAAACTGGATACAGTACTCCAAATGAGGCCTCACCAATGCCGAATCGAGGGGAATGATCACATCCCTCGATCTGCTGGCAATGCTCCTACTTATACAGCCCAAATTGTCGTTAGCCTTCTTGGCAACAAGGGTACACTGCTGACTCATATCCAGCTTCTCGTCCACCGTAACCCCTAGGTCCTTTTCTGCAGAACTGCTGCCTAGCCACTCGGTCCCTAGTCTGTAGCAGTGCATGGGATTCTTCCATCCTAAGTGCAGCACGTTGCACTTGTCCTTGTTGAACCTCATCAGATTTCTTTTGGCCCAATCCTCTAATTTGTCTAGGTCCCTCTGTATCCTATCCCTACCCTCCAGCATATCTACCACTCCTCCCAGTTTAGTGTCATCTGCAAACTTGCTGAGGGTGCAGTCCACGTCATCCTCCAGATCATTAATGAAGATATTGAACAAAACCAGATCTTCAGGAGCTTTATCTGGACCTCCAGGAGCTTTATAATATGCTCTTGACCCTGTGTCCTCCCCTGGCTATCCAGCCTCAATCTTTCATTGATTGTCTCCATCCACGCTCTTGTTTTGTGAAGTGCTGCATTACTTATCTGCCGGAGGCACTCCACCGGTATGGAGGAGTGGGTCTTCAAGGGCATATCTGCAGAAGGCAAACAAACAATGAACAGAGACTGTATTGTGAGTGCACTCACAGCTTGAATCACAGAAGTTACACACACCTCTTTCTCACTGTCCCTTGGCTAGCACACCGGTCGCTGCACGTCCCAATTATGGGGAGTTCACAGGGTGGGAGGGCAAGGGGGAAAGGGCAGGAAGGGACAAAGGGTGATTTGCGAAGGGGGTTACTTTGAGCGGCTAGAGAGCCTTGAATATTCATGTCCCTTCTCCTGCATGCCACTAGCAATCAGCCCGTAAGCATCGAAGTTCCTCTCCTCCCAAGCTCAGCAGATCCAACAGCTCCCGTGTCCTCCACACGGGAGAGCACCTGCTGCAGAAAGCCAGTGTGGTCAGCTGGGAAGATCCTGTGTGAACTGTGCCCAGAGCAAACAGGAAGAGGAATTTCAAACATTCCTGGGGGAGGGGTGCATATCTCTGTACCTTCAGGGCAGCAGAGTTCAAACTGCTGACCAGAGCGGTCATGATGGGCATTGTGGGACACCTTCTGGAGACCAATTAGGGCGACAAAATCAAGCACAGTGTCTATACTGACGTCACTCTAACTAAGTTGCAAAAAGCTCTATGCCACTCGTCGAGGTGGTTTTATGATGTTGGCCTAATGGGTGTTACGTAGGCAGGAGCAGTATTGCAGTGTGTACACCTCCACTGTTTTGTCGACAAAACGGTGTAGTGTAGCCAAGGCCTAAATCAAGAAGTGCCTCTCTCCTTATGGGTTTCAGAACTCTCCAAGTTTCGTGTTTAGAAACTTTATCTCTGCATCCCGTCCTGAGGTGACGTACCCAGGCAATATGGGGACAGTTGATATCCCCCATTATTATTGAGTTGTTTTGTATAGCCTCTCTAATCTCCCTGAGCATTTCACAGTCATCACCACCATCCTGGTCAGGTGGTCGGTAGTATATTCCTATACTTTTATTGATCAAGCATGACATTTCTATCCAGAGATCCTACGGCACGGATTGATTCATTTCAGATTTTTACTCTATTGGACTCTCTGCTTTTCCATACGGTGCTGCTCCGCCACCAGCACGACCCACTCAGTCAGTCCTGGATATTTTGTACCCTGGTATTACCATGTCCCATTGATTAGCATAATTCCACCAAGTTT